CAGCCAACAACATATGCTTGTTTTGAGCGGAGCGGATTGCCAACCAGCCTACCGGCTTGTTTAATTTAAAACAACCTCTGCACATTTAATACTGAGCCACATTTAGTTGGGTTCTGTAAAAAACAGATAAGTGGCATCAATACCATCTGAGAATATTACGGCTAGTCGTTTTCTACAAAATATTTGCCCCAATAGATTTTCGTTTTGAAGTAGAGGATTTGTGTCACATCTGTCTCGTTTCAAAACTGTCATTTTAAAACTGATTAACTGTTCTCTTCCTCTTTTGAAAGAAAAAAAAAAGATTGTCCAGGAAGAACATTTTTATTATTATGGCAATAATTGTTTACTTGTTTGCTTTCCTTCTCAAAATCTGAGCTACGCGAGGCAAGTTATTGCTTGAATACAATAGTAATTTGAAACTGTACATACCTTTTGTGGGTTTCCCGATCGTTCTCATCACTACTACCGGTGCAACAAAGGGGATTCCTGAAAATACAATCGATTAATCAACACTGATGATCAAGGATGTGATACATAGTTAGTACCATTGTGCTACAGTCACGTTGCAAGTGCAGCATTGAATATACATCAAACATAACACGACGATTGTGACCCCTTAATTAATATTACATTTCTATTGTTTCTTGAAACTTTACGGTAATGTTATTATGTTGTGAATATTTTAATTCTGCTTACGAAACGGGTTTTTATTTTCCAAAATGCCAGTTTTAGGGCTTACGTCTTACTAAAAGAAATGCCCCAGTTTCCAATATTGTTTTAGCTAGGATGTTTGAATTGATGCGTCGAATAGAATTTGTGTACGTTTTAATGCGCAAGTACATATTTTTCTGTGTTATTCCAGTGAATTTAACGCAAAGGGCGATAGGCTTCCTCGTCCACCCTTGTTTCGTTTTCTGTAAATTTCAAACCACGAGGAATGGATCGATACGATTGTGCCATACCCCCTCCAATATGTATACACACTCAGTCAAATACAAAAAAAAACGACAAAGAAAGATGATAAATAAGGGTGTTTTTTTTTTATAAGAAATAGAGATATGCCATAACACTGAAATCATATACCTGTCGCCATGCTAGTCTGTGCCCGATGGCAGATATACGTAGTGGAATAAATATGCTTTCACGCAAAAGCGTATTTAAATATTTTCAGTTTATTAAGGAATTTAAACACCAAAATAGTTACATATAAACCTATGGAATACGCCCAGGATTATCAGTTATTTCCGCCCAAAAGAATACCCTTTTACCTAAACCTTGACCGAAACAGGCCGTTAACTGCCATCAATGTCCTCCAGTTGCACTTTAAGTATATTGGATAATGCAAGAATGTTGTTCGAGATGCCACACATAGTCCGAAAACGGGGACTTGGGGATTGACCTATGTGCGTGTGTGCGTCCATGTGTCCGTGCCCTCGGAATTATATCTTAGAAATGCCTGAACCAATTATAATATACATAACAATAACATATGCACATCAATTTGTTTCACGAACAAGATGGCCGTATGACGGCCATTTGTGTACTGAAATCAAGCATATCAGGCATTCCGGAACCGGATCTCGGCTGTTTACAGGTGGATTTTGTTCAAACTTGGTATATACATTAGATATTGATGTACATCATTTTGTTTTTCAGATCAGATAAAAAATGACTGACAGACGTCTCTTTTGCTTTAATGAATGCGGTTCTAGCGGCATATCTCTGACATGCTTTGACTGGTTATGTTCAAATTCATTCATATATTCCTTATATATCATGTCATATATATATATATATATATATATACAGATGTATTCAAAATGACAGAGTGGTAGCCACTTTGTTTTAATAATTGCTGTTCCAGAGCAATATCTCTTTACTTTTTTGAATATCAGATCATACAAAATGACTGATTCTCAACCAATTTAATGTTAAAAACGCATCATAGTCAAGCATCAGCTTCCGGATCCATATTTCTGACATGTTTGTAATCCAACTGTATTACTATAAACAAAACTATATATCTTAAATTTGATAACGAACAGGGACTGTAACATTCATGGCTTATTCATGATTCTATTCGTCCCTATATGTGTATTAATGAAGTCATATACATTGGAGGAGGGTGTTTACTTCCTCTCTCATAGCGCATTAATCAAATAGGTCAGATTGTTGTCTGGTAAAGGGCTATTATTTGAAGAATAGTCTATATATTTTATTATATTTGTCTGAAATGGTGTAGTAGTTAAAGTACCCGAGGCATCGTACTGAATAGTAACAGCGTCATGATCGTCAGATCATATAAGTTGTGTCGTCGCCAGAATTGGATATGTTAGACTTGTTGAAGAACTCGATGGCGTCAGCGTCTATTGCTAATACCGCCCACGTCTGTGCAGAATAACATGATGCGTCTCCACAAAACGGGGAACGTTGCAAAAATTATTTTGTCCCGTCACTGAATTGTTATCTATCCAGAATCAAAAATCATATCATTTAATTATTATCACGCGACGTGTGGTGATTGATTTCCGCTAATTACAGCAATAAAAAATCTAACGAAATAAGATTTGTCTCTTGATTTACGATTACCACATATCACCTGAATCAATTTTCAATATAGTTGTTTTTTTAATTTCGAAACTATTTTGTTTTTAGATTTAGGTTGTGATGGTGGTATAGATATAAGAACTCACGTGTGAAACAAGGTTTCGTAAAATTCGTAATGATTGAAAAACACGATACAGTGGCCGTTAAACTGGATTAAACTCAGAAACATATCCATTTTTAGTCAACAAAAATAAAATATAACATACATCTACTTACTCTTTCTGTCGCATCATGCGATGCCTCTGTCCAAATTTTGCGATGGGATGGAAAACTGCGATACAGATAATATTCTCTACTGATGGCGAGGTTACAGCTTCGTTTGTGTAATCTTGTGGCTGAATGTTGATACGGTCACCAATAGCTAAACGTTATATAGAGATATCGGTTTTTCAAAAGGCCCCGTAAGTAAGTAATAATAACGACATTCTCCCAAGAGACCTGCTTGTTTTGGATTTACATATTATTCTACGGGTGAGATCAGTGCTATAGTTTTTTTTTCTCGTAGCATTAAGTTATATTAGTTATTCATTGTATGAGTTTTCTGTCCATTTTTATTACATTTTCGGTTTCCAATGTTTAGATAATTTCTTGACCATTACATAATTGATTTCGGCGTAAGTTTGATTATATTATTTGTACTGAAATTATTTGTTTTGATCATTTCTGTTCTGATTTTTTATTTTGATCATTTTCTGTTCTAAGTTTTTTATTTTGATCATTTTCTGTTCTGAATTGTTTTGTTTTTGTTTTGAACATTTTCTGCTGTATTTTTCATCAATGTTCATTAGGACATTTTTTGTTTCGAGCATTTTTTTATTTTTATTTGTTTAGTTATTTTTGTTTTGAGCTTTTTTTTCTTCAATAACTATTTGAACATGTTTCGCTAAACATTTTATGAGCATTTTTATTAAAACATTTTTTGTTTTGACCATTTTCTTTTTATTATATTTTTTGAGCATGTTTTTGTCCTCGCCCTTTTAATGTTTTGTGCGTTTTGCACCATCATAATTTTTGCGTAAAACTTACTACCCACCATCACATGGTGTCAATATATGTTTAAAGACAATGTCTAGCACGTTCATACCCATGAACAAAAATTCCAAGGTATTCAATGGCAAGTCAGTCATCTAGACACATGAAGCTACATACTGCAAAATAATAGCTTCCAAGAAAACTTATCAAACTATTCAACAAACCGTTATGTGCTAATGTATATGTTACATTCACAAAATATTTACAGTACCTAAAAATTGACTTTTATTTTTCTGTCACTAACAAAATATGCATTTTGTTTTGGAGTAACTTGAAGTTTTGCAAAGTGCCTCCTAAGCTGACATGGCGCGCCACTGACGTATACAGATTTTCTTTGACGAAAATAGTTTTGATAATCCACTGACGCATCAGAAAATCAAATATTGATATGCACTCTATTTGAGTACAATTCATACATTCAAGTGATTTCCCGTAATCTAGTATTGTACTGATAACTAAAAACTTCCATTGACCCATGTCCAAAATCTCGCAGCACACAAGTGCAAACAAACTATGTCTCATACATGTATACATGCTCAAGAAACTGCATTCATAAAGCAGGGGTAAACCTTGATTTACCTTTAATAACAACTTGACTTCTTTGTTAATTCAGGTCTTTGTATATTACCAAAACCTGGGTTTGTTTCAGTATCATTACTATGCAACAAAATAATTCTCACGTTCCGAAAATACAATTTTTTTTAGTAATTAATTAATTAATTAAGTATGGTTTATTATATATAATGTATTCACTGTACATACAGTAAAATCTGTTAATAAACTGTTGTAAATGCAAAGCTATGTTTTCAGAGCAAGTAATAATTAGGCAAGCCAGTAGATAAGGGTCGGTCGGCTCAAAATCTTCAATGGAGTACCGGTAGTAACATAATTGTAAAGTCATCTTAGTGCAGTGATATTCCAAAATGTCAGTTAATATCAAAGGGTATGAAACACTAAACCATTCAATTTACACTGCTAGAAATGTTCAGGATTGTATGGCATTTGTGTACAACAACAAGTCACTGACACAATGTTGTAGGAACCCAGAAAAATTTAAACTGCTACAAAAGTCTGCAGTTTCCACTGACGTATGTAATTTGGGAAAATACGTCTCTCAAGAAATTGAAGCAGTTTTACAGCACCACTGTAAAATAATTAAAAAAAAAGTTAAAAATAAGTATAATCAATACAGTTTTGAAAGAACACATTAAAATTAATTCAAGGATATTAACTAACTGTTAATATAACACAAGGAATCCATTTTGGACAAGTGAAAGAGCAAAAATGTCACATTAGTATTAGTATTGAATGTGCCAATCTCAGTGATTCTAGAGATTAGTATCTGTTGAACTAAAGATTTTTGAGAAACAAAAACAAGAATTGTTGTAAACTTAGCTCAGTGAAGTCAAAAAGAGTCATATATTATTGATATTAATCCTAGTATTGGTGAAACCCATTTTTCTCAGGGTTGAGGCTTATTTGCATATTAATTTGCATACTAATTAACATAAATTATAGTTATATTTTTTCAAATATAACTTTTTCTTCACGAACAGAAACACTTTTGCCGGGGGAAACAATACAATACCTGAAAATGAAAAAAATAATAATGATAAAATGAAAAATGAATGTGAACATAATGGTAAAATGCTATGTTGTTGACACTGATCGCGCCCCATAGATGGGTGAGGGTGTACCAACGAACAATATAGTGTCACCAGACATTAACAGGTTTGGCGACATGCGTTATATCAAAACACGATCACACTGTTCATTGTACAGGTTAGAATTCAGTAAGATTGGTCTTCAGAAATAGGTTTGGGCGGATCTGATTCTAAGGACCGCTCGTATTAGACTCTCACTGGGTTAAGCGTTAATTTTTGGTGGCGTTGTGTTGATGGCTGTTAGAACCACGTTGACTGGCAGGTAAAATATAATAAATTTCAAATTTTGTTATATTTGTAATGCGTTATCAGTTGGAATTTTGAGTTGACAGCATGAGTTTTCTATGACTGTTACCGTCAGTGTTTGAGGATACTGATCAAGGCGTAAAATTTGTCACAACTATATCTGAAAATGAGTGCTTTTGACTAAGGAAAATCATCTTCCTACCGTTGAACCTACAAATGGTATGATATGCTTGTTTTTTAGTCAATTACGCATAATCACACTAAGATCGCTTTCGTGGCCATCGCGGCTGTCAACATAACATACTGGCTTGTAACATAGTACAATTATTCGTGTTTGTGGTCTTGTCGTTGCAACTTTTTTACTTCTGTGTTCTGATGCACAAAATGGGAGTCTTTTCAGTTAGTGCGTGTTTGCATATTAATTAGCCATATATATATTTGATATGAATTATAATTCCACTGTCATATAGAATTTTACATACAGTTGTTTACCAGTTAACACAATGATTATTCAGTTAATTCAATGCATTTCAGTTGCACTTATAAAGACAGAGTACTCATAATTACAATAATACTAAATCTTGCCAACACCACGACTGATTAACACGAGCTTTATAGAAATTTGTTATTTACGTTTCTCACTTTTTTCCAAGTCATAGTGGAAGTTCAAAACATAAGAATGGGCTACCACCCAAAATTGTGTTTGTTTTCACATTTTCGGCAAATTGAAAAAGTCAAATTGGAAATCGAAACCGACATGAAGCCCAGAGCATAATTACTATTTGAGCAATGGATAAACCTCATGAAAGAATAATACAACTAAACAATCTACTATTTCTTGGAAAAGTTTGGAATTTCAAATCCCAGAATTTTATAATCTAGCTTATAGTGATCAATAAGTTGATCAATTAATTTCTGGGACAGGGTTGATATTGTTTCCCTGAATCTACTTTCACCTCTTGTCGTGTGTACCTCTGGATAATGAAATGAGTCTCCAACTGCCAAATTCATGAAGTATGGGGCGTCTTGAGCCAAGTGATCCATGTGTCCAATAAAAGTGTAATTAAACTCACATATACGTGACAATAAATATTGATGTCGCCAATGATATGATTGTGAGGGTATCTGATCATAATCAAGAACCAACTGTACAAACTGAATAAACGTTAAGTACGGTTTATTATTCATAGTGGCATTCACGTGTCCCTTTCTCATATACTTATAATAGCGGTGGAAGTAAAGCGTTGGAACTGGTCCAGGGGGACAAATATGGTAATGGTAATACGACACAAGCCGTTCCAGTGGTTCTCGGAAGAACACGCCTCTAACATACTGATCAAACTCAGGTGGCGCCAGAGAACTCAGTCGTCGTCTGCTTTCAGGATCGCCTGAGACTGGATCAATTTCGTGCATAACATGTTGCCACGTAGTTGACCCCGCTTTAGGAATTCTTGTAACAGTAACTTTGTACTTGTGAGATACTAGTATATTTAAACCTTTGCTAAAATACGTAATATTGTTCAGTTTTGAGCATTCCAAAGCAGCTGTCTCAAGTCTTTTCTGACTGGCTCTTCTGGGGTCATAAGTGATGTGAACCGGATCTATTACAGACACCTACAAGATAATAACCGAAGACAACTGATTATAACGCATAGGACTAATGACTATAAGGCATTCTTAGTCAAAATGGAATCCGCAAAATCAAGTTCAGTCAACTTGTTGACTGCTGATTCTTCAAGTAAAACAAAAATATAAGTGATTGTATAGGACAATTGAGGCTCAATCTCAAAATTTGAGGCCTTTGATTTCCTTAGTTTTAGACTAATTTTGTTTATAAAATGTAAATTTAATTTTTTCGAATTACAAATTCTATAATTATAGTAAGATGTTTTTTTTAATCAAGATGACTAAATCGATGTATAGAATTTTGTGTTGCGTCAATGCAGCACAATGAATCAGCACAACAAAGTTCGTCACAAAAAATCTGTGTACGTTGGCGACGCGTCATATCGGCTTAGGTGGCATACTGTCAACCGTGGCATGTTTTCATTACAATGGCGAGTCTGTGGAATTTACATAGTCCCTTAGTATTAAATATAATATTGAGAACTTGCTTAATAGTCGTTGATCGTAAAAACATTGTTCGTTCACATGACTATGGTTTTATGATTAAATATTGTTTAATACATTAGCTCACATTTGACTATGTATTCGAATTTGTGGTGGTTTTCATATTAGTGATCTCAGTTCAATGTAAATAATATTATCAATATGATATGCATATGACATAATGTTTATATAAATTACTTTTTGCAACTTATCATGTAGAATGTATATTTGAAATGACTCAATTGTACTACGAACTTCTGTATTTTACTGTTACTGCGAAAACAAGCAAAAATATCATCCAGTTATTGGCATTTAATGTTAGCTGTCATGGTACAAACAAATCAACACAATTTAAAAAAATATCTGTACTTAACAATAATAACTCATATAGACTTTAGTCCACAATGAAAATGAAAATGCATCCTAACCTAATTGTGACTAATACGATCACTACCGGTATGCAATGTTTTGACTGATAAGAAAATCGCATGAACCAAAAACTTTATCACGTTTATCAGTGTTGAATCATATTTAAAAAAGGACACCATGTCCAATGAAATAGTCGTGGATTACAGTGTACTGCTTATTTCTCGGTCGGTATGTCCCTAATATGTGGCACCGACTGTATGGAAAAAAAGTATGTAATAATACTATAACCAAGTGGCATCGCACTGACGTTCGCTTTTTCGCTCATTACTCGTTGTATCATTGTATTATGTATATTCATAATACGGTCACAGGATACGCTGCATCACTCGTGGCGATAAAGCAATCCTCGTTAAGCCGTTAATGTCTGTAAACTACGGCTTTGTCTTTTTGACACTTTTAACTAGCCATGTGCGTGTATATTACTAGTAATCCGTAACCAGGTGTGCACATAATATATGTACAAATACACAAATTATCAATGTGAAGGCCACATATACAATTAACAACATGGAAATGTTTAGCTCTATTACTCCATAAACTAATTTCAAAAGTACTTACCATTTCAGCGCTTTTTATATGTGGTTTATCTGCACGAGTCGAGGGTCCCGAAAAAACATGCTCCATTTTTGGCAATTTGTCCATACCTGAAAGACAGGATGTCGAAGATGTGCTGACGTACACAATTACATGATTACATACCTAAATTCACCTACTCGGCAAATATTATTATTTTTCACTATTATTTTTCAGAGTGTTCTTATTATACTTATACTGACTTAATGGTTACCTTCATATACAATTACAGCCGTACAAACAAAACAGACGACTATCGTTAGATTTGGTGTCAGATACTTCCGAAAACGAACCAATGCCATTATGTTTGCCTAGTAAAACAGTAAACACAAATTGTTAGACAAAAAAAAGTGAGTGAAAGTGATTGACAATTAAACGGGAGAGTCGCCACCTGCGCATGCGTCAGATGGCCATAGCGTGTCATAGTTCACAAACAAGCGTCTACTCATCAGCCTTTGCGTTTTTAGTCTGTGCTGTTATCGTCGCCTGGGACTCAATTCCCACACGTGCACAGGTGACGACCTTCCTGCTTTAAATTATTTACCACAAGCCAAACAATAGAAACAGCTGTAGCCAAACAACCATAACAAGCCGGTAGGCTGGCGATCCGCTCCGCTCAAAAAGCAAGCAACATGTTTCCGGCTGTTGTCGTGGTAGGACATGAACGTGAAGATAACGTCGGTTTATAACTAAAACCGAATCACGTAAACGAAGTTCGCAAAAAACGTCCAGTCTTTAGAAATTACTTTATTTTATTGTTAGGACGTTTTTCTGTTGTTAAATTTATTCTTTTCAACCGTTTTGCGATAGTATTTTCTAAATTGAAGGCAGCAATAACAGTTCATTCAAAGTTGCGTTGGGATTATGTTGATACAATGTAACAATGTCGGCGCCAGTGATATTTTACCAGTGCGCAACGTAGCCAAAATAACAAGCATGAATATTTGAACACTGCTATTACAAGACTGGTAGGAGGTAATCAATTTGGGGCGAAAGTATTCAAAAATTGCTGTTGCCATGGCAACGGTGGGTCAAGTTTTTTTTTAAAATTAGTGATGGTACGACCTGCCTGTCAAGTATGAACAAAATCTGCCAAGCCCCCCAAAAAATCACAGAGCAGTTAAAAGCCGTTGCTGGTGATAAATTACCCCAACTTTCAGGTCAATTTTTTTCTCTAATGAATATACATTGTAAACATAAAAAAACAGTAAATTTATGCCCACACTCAAGTTGAATAGAATGAGCTACGTCCGTGCTTTTTGATCATAGAAATGTAGAGTGAGATACATTTGGCGCGAATGTATTAAAAAATTCAGTTTTTTGGCTGTTGCCATAGGAACAGTGGGCCAGGATTTGTTTTCAGATTTTACAACCTAACTAGAGTGAAGGTGTGACTTGCCTGCCAAGTTTGAAGCAAATCGGCTCAGCCAAAAAAATCACACAAAAAGTTAAAAAGCCATTTCTGGTGAACAGTTACCCCAACTTTGGGGTCGAATGTTTTGGTAATGAAAACAGATATCAACAATTTAAATAGTAACTTTGTGCCCACACTCAAGCTGAGTAGAATAAGCTATGTCTGCGGTGTTTTATCCTAAATTTGTAGAAAGAGATACATTAGGCGCGAAGCTATCCCCAAACAGTTTTTGGATGTTGCTATGGCAACGGTGTGCCAAATTGTTTTCATATTCTTCCTAATGACTAGGGTGAAGGTGTGACCTACCTGCCAAGTTTGAGCAAATCGCCCAAGCCAAAAAGATCACACAAGTAATAATACGTGAAAACACTGGAAATCACACACACACAAAGCCACAAAAGTGATTATAAAGACAATCCTATCGGAGTGGATCGCCAACAGTTGTAGCCGATAAATAATATAAACAAGAGTGCCGGTAATTACTATTAATACAAGAAGTCGCACTGGCCTGCGCTTGGTGTTGATAAACACGCGCCATCCGTTTGACAACATGTCATTATCAATACAATATTCTACTGACTGTACTTTTCCTAAATTTCCAATTATTGTTTCAGTGAGTAAATATAGAAAACAAAATGTTCCAAATCCAAGATATGCTTTACCAATATTTTTTTTACAGATAAATCTGAATACAAATACGCCAATGAATACAACTTAATTTCATTTTAGTATTTCACATATAAAACATTTTGCACGGACGTGTCGTTGTCAGCTGCAGTATCACCTCTCGTACCACGTATTAGCTACCATGAGTTACGATTTATGTCGTAATTTTCTTTTCTGTATAGCGTTTACCCGAATGTTCAGTCACCATAAAGATGCATAACGTAACTTTAGTTAGTTATTGAATGTTATTCTGTCTACTACCACTTCCCTGTTTCAAGATAAACTAGAAGAGCATACACAACTTATGACAATTACATTATAATCAAGGGAGATGTCAATTTATTTAATTATAGGGAGGGGGTCCATAGTCTTCTAAACACGTATATGTGATACACGCAATATCAAACTGAAGATGAGGGATGTATCTACAATTCTGGGTGGTGTCCCGTAATGTATAAGCGGTGTTCATGCTTACGACCACCTGATTACTCCAATTCTATGCTGCAACACATATACGAAGAATCAGCAACAACAACAAATAGGCGAACAATGGTATCAAACCTGGATCACATCAATAGCCACGTCTTTCAAAAGGTATACCAAAAGTGCATCCACACAACGAATCGCAGAACAAATGAACTTCGCTACGCTCGTTTAAGTAAGACAGTTGATATTTTAGGGTCACCCGTGAGATATGCTCTACACGGAAAGGAAACGTATATTATCACATCCATACAAGTAATGGCAGAGTAGCTACGCAATACAATCAACCATGTTTTAAATGGCGAGCGGATGGATATAATGCAATACTGCCAAGGCCGAATTCCTAGTTCAAATCCGTGTTTGTGAAAGTGTCTGTTCTACCCCGAGGAGGCACTTCCGCTATTTTGTGGTGTTGTCTATAACTCTTTACAAAACACCGTTGTGGGAAACGCGTTAGTGCATACTGAACAAATTAATACAAACACATGTATAGCCTTGCCCAAATCACAGTAACACCACTGATAAATTGTAAAGTGTGAGAAGTTTCGTTCTCTAAGTAATGTAAAGCGCTGGCCAACTCACTACGCTATGGTGATAAATTACTTATTACATGTTAAAATAAACATCACCATAAGTTAAGTTAAAAAGAATACTTACCCGAAGATTATCTGAATCATATGAGTAGATACACAGTGTGGAATCTGGTAAATCATATACTAAGCGCAGTATGAAACAGTAGAGCAATATGGTAACATGCAATAGGTTTCGGAAGGTTAATACAGTAAATTCTTTATTAATCAATCGTGAAGCACGATATGTTCATGTTAATTTGTGTTTGATTTGTGAATTGTTGATTATTTGAACGTGAATTTCAATGTACAGTTTTCAGTTTATTGCTACATGTATATTATCCCAGTATTTGTTGAGGTGATCGTGGACGTATATTATTGATATGATTTTTTGAAATATAGCTGTGTTAGTAGAGCCACCCCATGCATATTTGCAACCTATTTAGTGAACATAATTCATTCAAATCTTTGTATCCATGGTCCTGGGGAGTATGTGTGTATTTGCAACTGGACTATGCATAATTAATGAGATCATATAACTAACTCATATTATTCATCTCTCTCCACTGTTCACTTTTATTTACAATACAAGTATTTAAATTTATATTTAGTATACGAACAGTTAAATTTAAAATACGAGCATATAAAATATGAGCAGTTAAATTTAAAATACGAGCATATAAAATATGAGCAGTTAAATTTAAAATACGAGCATATAAAATATGAGCAGTTAAATTTAAAATACTACTAAAATAATAGTATTAATTTAAAAAACGAACAGTTACATTTAAATAAGAACATTCAAATTTAAAATACGAGCCTTTAACGAGCAGTTGAACTTATATTACAAGTATTTAAATTTAAAATACGAGCATTTAAATTTAAAATATGAGCAGGTACATTTAAAATATGAGTAGTCAAATGTCGGCAGCCTATCTGGATAACTTAAGTTTGCAAAACCTGGTAAAAGCTTTGTAGCCCTTCTTTGAACCTTTCCTAAAACATTAACATGTTTTTAAGGTGTGGACACCAAACCTGGTCATCATATTCAATATGGAGACTTACTAAAACTGTAGAAAGCATACAAAAAATCAATATCCAAATACTCATAATTTCTTCTAATAAGACCTAGTATTTGATTAGCTTTGATGATTTTCTCATTTGCATCTCAAAAGATAATTTCTGGTCCATAGTATACTTAAAGTCTATAGCTGCACTGGATTTACGCCCCATTGACATACATTTACATTTATCTGAGTGAAATTTTAACAGAGAAGTCTCAGTCCAAGTATACATAGCATCATTATCAAACTGTAAATTACAGCAGTCTTCCACTGAGTTAATTGTACTAAATAATTGTTGCATCATCAGCAAAAAGGAAAACATCAGAATTTGTGTTCACTGTCCCTGGCAAATCATTAATGTAAATTACAAACAATATGGGTTCCAAAATTTAACCCTACGGAATACGATTAATAAATCTCTTCATTGTGACTGCACATCGTTAATTTTCACTAGTTGATTTTGTCGACTTGACAAAAAAAATGAATCCGGGAAAGTATGGGATCAGATATTCCATAACAATCTAACCTATGGAACAGCCGTTGTGTCGTCACCGGAAGCGCTGTCCCAGCACAAACCTGTATCATATGACGCCTTACTAGCCGATTTTGGCTAAAATTCCGCTCCGTCGCCTCTTTACAACAGTGTTTATACGCGGAACTTGATATTGCTTTTTACAATTTGGGTTGCCTTTGAATCACATATTTTAGTGAAACATTGTTTATAGAGTGAAATATTATTGTCATACATAATTCAATCTTTGAAACAACAGAAACTAACACATAATAACGATAATCAAATTTGTGTTTGAAGTTCGAAAGTAGTTGCGTTATTTTCGGTTTCAACTAGTTCGAAAA